GGTGGTGGTGGTGGTGGTGGTGGCCATGACGGCTTGACGATATGCAGTTTGACAGGCAAAATGCGGCACTATGGAGACCTCCCACGGTGCAAATATTTTCGTTTTTAAGTCACACATAGGTGAATAAGACCTCCGAAAAGGGATTGATTTGATTCCCTGAACGCTGGATAGTCCCTATCTTGGTGTGATATTACTGACTTGATAGAATGAAAAGCAGCCTCTGTTTGTCCAGGCCTCCTTAGTGGCCGTCGGCCTAATCTTTGTCGATACTGTTCTTCCGCTATTATTCCCCGGATCACAAGACGCTATCGTAGACGGCATAGTTCTGTGTATTCAGTGACAGTGGACAGAACCCTCAAAAACGCCCATTCCCGCTCTGTAGTCGACCCATGTATGTAGACGTCGGTGTATCTTGTATCTCGTCCTCCCTTTGCATCCCACGGAAGAAACCTACTGAGAAATCAGCTTCCAGTTTTCCGCTGCGTCGTTGGACTTTGCCTTGCCAACTTTACGTCTGTGGACACATGTTTACTGTTCGTGTACTGTTTGTTCAGAGCAGTACCCACGCACACGCATAAGCTGGCGCAAATCTTCATCAAGAAGGCAAAAAGCTAGGCTGATTTGAACCACACAGCCGTGCGTTCGGGGGGCGGGGAGGAGACTGCACAGTGCTTGTCTGTTTTTTACCTGGAATTCGCGGCGCGATTTCGGCGCCTGCGGTGGTCTCTATGTACTCTGTACCCGGAAGGCCGAGGGAAGCTCGTCTGTCGCTCTCAAGCACTTCTTGCATCGCTGCCAAGACGACAGATTTCCGCCCTCGGCAGGACATCTTTCGAAGGTATAGACTGCTCACGCCGGTCCGACGGCGGGCACCAAAGGTCGACTTCACTCCTCAGAAGTCACACACACACACACTCACACATGTTTGCTTTTTTCGGCATAAGCGCGTAAGCTCTTGATGTTTTTACGAATCATCTCCCGAACTGGCCCCAAACGTTCTGGTGCATACTGAGTAGTTCATAGCTACTGTGTCTTGGACAGAGTGTCGGTATCGACAGTAATAATAATAATATTATTAGTAGTAATTGTAGTAGTAGTACTAGTACTAGTAGCAGCAGTAGTACGTTACTACTGTACTGTGAGTGACACATCTCATGGAATGCTGGCTGAAATTCTGAAATGCGTTTTCGATTAGGAAGGATTACTTAGACGAGGTTGTAATATTGATTAATAATATTTGTTGTAATAATGATTAATACTGACATAATTCTCTAATATTTTGGATTCGGCAGGATGTCAGCTTTCGAATACACTGCTTTTAAGTCCCCTGTAGAAACCGTACTTGCTAAAAAGGACTACTCAAGTAGCATGCATTTGCACATTGATTTTCGATGTTCTTTCAGACAAAAATGCA